GTGTCTAGCCCTCTCCCCTACGAAATCCTCCGCGACCCTGTTCACAACCTGGACGAAGGAGGTCAGGCTACCGCTGGGGATTCACGTCGATGACACACCAATTCCGACGGTAATAACCCCAAAATACTCGGAGTAACATTCGACAGCCTGCTCTCCTTCTCTGCGCACTCAACCGCTATTGTCAATAAAGTACAGAGCCGCAACAAGGTCCTCAAGTCGCTAGCCGGCAGTACTTGGGGCAAAGACAAAGAAACGTTGCTGGCAACATACAAGGCAATAGGCCGGCCAGTCTTGAACTACGCAGCGCCAGTGTGGTCGCCAGGGACTAGTTGGACGCAGTGGACGAAGCTACAGACTGTACAGAACACCGCACTCAGGACAGCGACAGGATGCCTCTTGATGTCGCCTGAACACCACCTGCACGGCGAGGCGCAAATGCTCCCTGTGAAGGAGCATAATATAATGCTCTGCAAGCAGTTCCTGATCGGGAGCCACAGAAGTGGCCACCCAAGCAGACAGCTGCTTGCAGAGAGGAGCCCTCGCCTAGGCACGTCAGGAGGCATCTATATGAACTGACGGACGAAGTCCAGAGGTTCATTAAGCAACCTCTGGACCCGACAGCTTACAGACAGGCCCTGAACGGCATTCACAGGGACTCAGTCTCGAGTTATGTAGACTCTAGACCTGTGAATGCCGTTCTAGGCATACCACCCCCGGACATAGACGAGACGGAGCTTCATCTCCCTGGGGAGACACGCACAACACTCGCACAACTTCGCTCCGGCTACTGCAGCAGGTTGAACTCCTACTTGAGTAGGTTGAATGAGGATGTGCCGAATGAGTGTCCGGCATGCGGAGAGACCCCACATGACTCGAAACATCTCTTCGCATGCCCGGAAAACCCGACAACCCTAACGGCCTTGTCCCTGTGGATAAACCCCACAGAAGCTGCACGCTTCCTAGGGTTGCCGTTAGTGGAACTTGTCGACAACGACTGAGATACCAACCGTCCTGGGCGGGGTTGTTGTAGCCGCTACAACAACAACAACATAGGGTAGAGCCGGAGATACAACTGCGGATGGGACTACTGTCATGGTCCCACTTGGTTACGAAATTTGAGCAAAAATACTCAATAAATAGATTATTCAAGCCTTTTTCCAATCGTTAATAAACTCCCCATTGGACAGAGACTTATTAAAAATTATAGTTAAGGGTTCCATTAGGGCGGGACATTTTTAAAAAATAATGGCAGATAAGCCGTCAAGATCCATTTGTTTCGAGATTTTTCAAAGACTGAATACCTTTTTCAAAACCGATGAAGGTATGTCCTAAGTAGCTTTCTTGGCCTTAAAATAACTCCAAAACGCCTTAGGATTATTTTTGATATTAGCTTCTTGATTACTTATATACTTTTTATAAAGATATTTGTCGAGATAATTAAACTCTTTCAGGTAAGATTTGTATAGATCGTAGTAAGCAGACGAGTTGGAGGCCTTGTATTTCTTATAGAATTTGTTTTTCCGATTTGTTAAATGCTTCAGTTCTTTTGTATACCAGGGCAAAGTATAGGCCTTCCTGGGAACAGTAGGAATGAGATCTAAGCACAACTCATAGACATAAGATTTAAAAGTTTTAAAAGCACTTGAAGTGTCTAAATTTGCGAGGTCTGTCCAGTTATGACCCATTAAAACTAAGTTCAAATGTTCAAAGTCACACAGGTTATGATTAAACGTCGGCCTGAGACCGTCCACTGGAGCAGTATAGAATTCATAGGAATGTATACTTAACACTAGAGGAATGTGGTGGACATTGCCTACGGATATAGGCGAGTTGCACTCAGTTAACTGATAGTTTAAATTACTGCTTAAGAATATCAAATCTAAAAGACGATTTAACTTGTTAAAATAACTGTTAACTTGTGATAATCCAATACTTAAGAGACTATCTATCGTATACAGATCACTTTCGTTTGATGCGCTTACAGGGGTTAGCCATAATGAGTTGTTAACTTTACGCCATAGTACAGAGCTCAAGTTGAAATCACCTAACATACATAGAAGATGATCGCCTATTCTGGAACTAAGACGTAAGACATTATCCATGTGAGATTTGCAAATACAGCTGCTACTATTCGGCGGAATATATGATGCGCACAGAAAGTCGTCCAAGCGAGCCTTTCAGACTAATACAGAGTTGTTCGAGGATAGTATCCGAGTTCTGTAGTTGGACTAAGGATGAGTTGTATTTACGCTGGACAGCAATTAAGACTCCGCCTCCTCTGCGACGGCCGGTTTTAGATTCATCTCTATCTTTCCGAAATACATTATACAGATTTGGGTCGAAAAATTCCGAGTCATAGAAGTTGGGAAGCATCGCAGTCTAAGTGCGAACTTAAGCTATGAACCATACTAGCTTGTGTCCGCATTCCGGAGACGTTTTGGAAATATATTTTAGAATTATTCCCCAAATGGCGAGGAACTAGGTTGGTACTGGCTGATCTCCTATTCGTTGAAAAAACGAAAAGGGCGAACAGTGACGTTTGCAGGCCATATATCAGGCTTAAGCAACTTAGGAAACAGGGCTCGAAACATTCCCACGACAGCTGGTTCTACGTACCGGAATGACTCGGGTTTTACCCGACCAAGGGCTGTTGTTTCGGCGATCTAACCCCGTTTAGGGAGGCGAAATCCATCAAACGTTGCTCGATCCTAGGGCTACACCTTCTCCGCACCTTTCTGCTCAGGACTGGCATAGAGCTAAACCCAGGGCCAGAAATCTACACCTGCTGCGTATGTCAGAAACGACTGCATACAAACTCCACCTCGGTCAGGTGCAATGCCTGCGACGGGTGGAGTCACCTCCGTAACTGCTCGGGCCTGCGTACGCACCCTCAATGGACCACGTCGTTCGTGGCCCCATGCTGTGCGCACCGGACCGCCTCCACGGCAAACCACCACCCGCCTGGGCAGCACACAATCAACACACCCACACCCCAAAACAACACAACAATAGACACACAAACAAACACAATAGCATCCCCACACCGCCGCCGGCAACTCCTAGTCCCTCCGACAATCTGCTCTGTTTGTCAGTCCAGAATATACCGTAACGTGACATCAGTCAAGTGCAACTCCTGCCTCGGCTGGTGCCACTTTAGGGCGTGCTCAGGAATCCGCAACACGCGAGATTGGACGAGTGACTATGTGGGCCCCTGCTGTGCTGCCCTGTCGCATCCTTCCCCCGCGACGCCGCCAACCACCACCACAAGGCAGCACCCCCTTTTGCAACACGTACAGCAGGGGCCGGCAGGCAACACAACTCTTTAACACCACACATCACAATCGGTCTCCCAAGGCACACAAAGGTGCTACAATTAATTTAACTGTAACGGACCCAAGAGCAAGATCGAGGAGATAACTGTCTTTATGGGAAGGCATGGAATATTAATAGCTGCGGTCCAAGAGACGAAGTTGCACGGCAATTCAACCATGTTGAATTGCGCCGGATACAACGTGCACCGTCGAGATCGCGCGCGAGATAATGGTGGAGGCTTAGCGTTCATCACGCACCACACCGTGCAGTATCGTCTCATTGAAGCAGACATCGACCGCAGGGATACCATCCTAGAATGTCAGGGTATTGCTATCCGGTCAGGCGATGTTGAGCTCGAAATATTTAACGTATATATACCCCCTGTCACCAGCTGCCCGGCAGGATATCACCCTGAAATAGGTGCGCTACTCAGAGGTGAAAACCGTATGGTAGTTGGTGGCTTTAACGCGCACCACGATCTTTGGCACACAAGCCTGTCAAATGATCGTAGGGGAATACATCTGGCTGAGCAGATAGACGATTCGACATTCCTCACAATGAACGACGACGCACCCACCAGGATTATGGGCAGCTGCTGCGCTCGCCAATCTTGCAATTGTCAGCGCTGGACTGATAAACAGCGTATCATGGCGACCTATGCTGACTATAGCATCAGACTATCTGGCCATAGTCATCCCGATTGATAAACCTTCCGACTTTGCTTCCGTGGATCACCGGACTTATGTCAACTTTTCCAAAGCTGACTGGAAAGGCTTCACGGATGTTACTGAGGGCGCCTTCACTGCACTACCCATACCAACCGACGGTCATGTAGGTGAACGTAAGGTCCGCAGGGTTGTCACCGCTGCTGCAGCTCGCTTCATCCCAGCAGGATGTATTAAGGATCCACGTCCGAATTTTCCTAGTTGTTCTAGCTGTTGAGCGCGACAACCTTCGTCAGGCCGATCCCGGAAATCCCCGTATTAGGGATCTCAATTCGGAGATTCGGCAACTTGCGGACGTACATAAGCGGAAAAAATGGGAAGATCATCCGAAGACCTGCAACTTCGCCTCTGGTGTGAGCAAGCTTTGGTCAACCGTGAGGTCGTTGTCCAACCCGACGAAGCGCGACGACAGAGTCGAGATAGACTTTGGTGACCACCCTTCGTCGGACCCGGAGAGATGCGGGAGCTATTTTAGCCGGCAGTTCATTCTGCATCCTCCGGTGGATAAAGCCAAACTTCGAGTGACCAGAAGGCTGCACAAAATGCCAAAACCCAGTGCGCCTCTTGATTTCACCAGCGGTGAGGTAAGGGTAGCCATCGGGAAGGCGAAAGCCTCCAAAGCCATTGGACCCGACGGAAGTTGCATGTTGATGCTGAAAAATTTGGGTCCTGCGGGAGTAGCGTACCTAACGGAGGTCCTCAACCTGTCTATGGCCACTCTCGTCATTCCAGACATCTGGAAAATAGGGAGAGTGGTCCCACTGCTCAAACCGGGGAAACCAGCCAACAAAGGAGAGTCTTATCGCACGATAACTGTCCTTTCCCCGGTAGCGAAGACACTCGAGGCCCTGCTGCTCCCGTAATTCACGAACCACCTGACCCCAGCGAAGCATCAACATGGGCTCCGTAAAGTGCATAGTACAACTACAGCACTTAACGCCATAAACACTCAGATAACTCGTGGCCCAAACCGAAACCGCCCGTGAGAGAACTATTCTAGTAGCGTTGGACCTGTCCAAGGCGTTCGACACTGTCAGTCATTCAACGCTACTAGAAGATATAGAGGCCTCCTCACTCCCACAGAGATTCAAACGGTGGTCGGCGAATTACCTGAGTGGTCGACACTCGTCAGTAATTTTCAGACAAAACTAGCAAGCCACGTAAAATTAAACAGGGGGTACCACAGGGTGGCTACTGTTTAATTATTACATATCAACGCTTACTCAGCCAAAAGAGGGTGTTAATATAGTCTCGTATGCTGACGATTGTTCGATCATGGTATCTGGGAATGGAATTGATGACTTGTGCTCGAAAGTAAACGGTTACCTCTCCGAACTTTCTCGCTTCTTCACTGCAAGGAGCCTTGCCCTATCCCCTGCGAAATCCTCGGCAACCCTTTTCACTACCTGGACGAAGGAGGTCAGACTGCCACTGGGTATTCACGTCGATGGCGTAACAATACCGACGGTGAATAACCCGAAAATCCTCGGAGTTACCTTCGACAGTCTGCTATCCTTCTCGACGCATACAACCGCAATTGTCAACAAAGTACAGAGTCGCAACAATGTCCTCAAGTCGCTGGCCGGCAGCACTTGGGGCAAAGACAAAAAAAACGTTGTTGGCAACATACAAGGCAGTTGGCCGGCCGGTTCTAAACTACGCAGCGCCCGTATGGTCGCCGGGGACTAGCAGGCGCAGTGGATGAAGCTACAGACCTGCCAAAACACGGCATTACGAACTGCGACAGGATGCCTCCTGATGACGCCTCAACACCACCTTCACGACGAGGCCCAGATGCTCCCAGTAAAGGAGCATAACATAATGCTCTGCAAGCAGTTCCTCGCTGGGAGCCACAGACGTGGGCATCCCAGCGGGCAACTGCTCGCGGAAGAGCCCTCGCCACGGCACGTCAGGAGGCATCTTTACGAACTGACAGACGAAGTCCATAGGTATATCAAACAACCTCTGGACCCGTGAACCTACCGACAGGCCTTGAACGGTATTCACATGGAATCAGTCTCAAGTTATGTAGACTCCCGCCCTGTGAATGCCGTTCTAGGCACACAACCACCGGACGTGAACGGGACAGAACTTTGTCTGTATCGGGAGACCCGCACTACAATAGCCCAACTTCGCTCTGGCTATTGCAGCAGGCTCAACAGCTACCTGAGCAGAATCAACGAGGATGTGCCCAACCAATGCCCGGCATGTGGAGAGTCGCCACATGACTCCCGGCACCTCTTCACATGCCCTGAGAACCCCACTCAGCTTATACCCCTGTCCCTATGGACAGCCCCTGTGGAAGTAGCACACTTCCTGGGCCTCCCCCTAGCTGAAATTGACGACAACGTTGATGGATGAACCGCCCCGAACGGGGCTTAGTAGCCGCTACAACAACAACAGGGCTCGAATCGTTACATACGATATCGTACTACTCGTCACGTAAAAAATCAGTTTTCAGATTATGACATACGTGAACGTACTCTTTGTCCCATTCAGCTTATACTGCCTGACGTATCACGTGATTTTCTTTCGTATCGTTCTCGATCCGCGAACGGATGTTACGATTCGGGCCCAGATCCTCGGCGACAGCTAGTTTGAAGTAAACATGCTCTAAATCGTCCATTGAGGCATCTTTCTTGACGAGCTTATGACAAAATAGGGATTGCTTTTTGATACCTGAATGTTTTTCCACATATTCGAGTATGTCATTACAGCCTACAGAAGGCTTGAAGGAAGCCAAATGAAGCCACTTCTTACGAACAGCAACCTTCTTAAGAACGGCAACATTCAGTTCTGTGTTAGAATTTGAACCAATAACATGCAAATCATTGATTCTCTTGCCATTCGGATTAACAACTTTGATGCGATCATTATTTACTTGGTGGGCGTCAGTGTTATTACGGGCGTCAACGGCTGGTACTTCAGGCGGAGGAATTTCGGCAGACCCTAATACATCAGCATACCTCTGCCTAGAGACATTGCGAGTGTCAACGCCGAGTACACTATCCACAGCCGGAGAGGTAGAGCGAGATGATGTTGCTTTATTGTGTGTATGCAAAAGTTTGTCAGGCAATGCTTCGGCGACGGCACTAGTAGATTTAAGAACAGTGTAAACAAGAGAATTAACAATAGGCTGCGAAGCACCGACATCATCATGAGCGGGAGCGGGCTGCGAAGCAATAACATCAACATTGGCGGAAGCCAGAGAAGCAGTATCAACCTCTGGTGAAGCAGCAGCAGCGATAGCATTGGTAGAATTTTCTGTTGGTGCATTAGTACAACCACACTTACAGTGTAGTGCCATTTGGCGCAATTCGTTAACTTCGGCAGTGAGCGAAACAAGAGCGGCGAGAACGTCTTCGGTATGAAGTTTACGCCAATTCTAATAACTCAGAGCGCAACTGAGTTGTTTGTTCAATTAAGAGCTTTTTATCATTTTGAAGAGCATGAATTTTCGCGACTGCACACGCTTGCTCCGAACTAAGTGCTTTGAGCTCACTGTGGATCGTTCGTAGAATAGCTAGCTGTTGTTTGATGTCCCTATCATGATCATCACACGAAATAAGCATTGTTTTGAAAGTTGTTGTTGTTGTAATATTATCTGGATCAGACGAATTTAACGATGTAGAAACTTGTTGTTGTTGTTGTTGTTTAGCGTCTCTGCCCGAGTTATCAAACGAAGTAAGCGTTGTTTTTGGCGGCTGTTGTTGATGAGATGAGTTTGAATTATTCGCAATATTAGCAGAAGGCAAATTAGATGACCTATTATTTGAAGTCGCGTTTACGGCCCGATTAGAGGGATGTGGGGGAGAGTGAAGAGAAAGTCGGCGAGCGTTCGGGCATTTTTTGCACCTAACCGAAGTGGAGTTGGAATAGAGTCCTCTCTGGCAAACGCAGCAGAAGTATGTTTCTGGTCCGGGATTAGAAAAGTTAGAGAAATGAACTCACTAAATTGAGAAAAACCATATTCATTTAAGTACATATGCAACATAAACGCGATTTATTTGAAGTAAGTTAAGAGAAGCAAATAGCAGAATATCTGTTTGTGTATACATTCATTTGTCAGTGCTGCAAATTATCAGTGGTTATATGTAAATTGAACCAGATCTCTATCAGGATCATATCATTGTTGCTGCATTTGCGCGCAAAATTTGTATGCGGATCCCGGTCATTGCCCAAGATAACACAGCTAGTAATAGGCCTGAGGAATATGGATGCCGCCAGACATTTTACTTAATTGCAAAAGTGTTACAACTTCCACCAAATATAAATTTTTTACACTTTTTGCTAGCTAATTTTTATAATTACCATTACAATTGAATTGAAATTTTGGAGTAATCTGAAAACTAGAAAGAAATGTTTTGCCTAAAAATGTGGTTGGTTTTAAGCATTGTGCGGTAGATGTGGTAGAAATTCAATTTTAAACAAGTACAAAGTCTATGTTCGGGCGAATTCGAACATTAAATACACGGCGCACAGTTTTCTCCCCTTTCCGAAAAATACCGTTACATAGTAAGCACGGGGTGGTTTTACCCCCATTTCTAACATCTTCGATAATATGATAAGTAAGATAAGAGATTAATGAGATAAACTTATATATGTAGTTATAAGTGGGCGCTAACATGCCCATTTTCGAAAATAACATAATGTTATTTATTTCCAAGGTATTAATGTGAGTATCAACTTTGAGTAAATTAGCACTTTTAAATTTCGAAATATAGAAGTTTCAGCAATTCTGAAATTCACCGTTATATGAAAAGTGAGCGTAGTTTTAGTCCGAATTCAAAAATGTTCAATGTTTTGCTTTTATGTGTCGTAAAACAATTATACCGAGTTTGGCAATAATTGATGAAACAGTTACCGAGATACACATACTTATGTAGGCGGTGCCACGCCCATTTTCCGAATATTTTTTTCCAATTTTTTTTTTCGTACTCAAGAATTATTGGAAACATCAATTTTAAATGAATTCGCTTCAGTAGTTAAAGGTTTATCGAAGATTTCCTATTTCTCCAAATTACCGTAATATGGGATATGGGCGTGTTTTTTTAGATTTTAAAAATTTTAAGACGTTTCATATCTTGTAATCCAAAAAGTTATAATATTCTTATTTTCTGCCTAAAGATCATTGAAAATATCTATTTGAGTGAATAAGCCTCAGTAGTTACTAAAATATCGCAGTTTTCGTATTTCTGAAAACTACCGTTATATGGAAGGTAGGCGTGGTTATTTCCGATGTTGCCTATTTGCAATACCACCCGTCCTTGCCTCAAAATAAATTCACATACCAAGTTTCGTTAAGATATCTCAATTTCTACCCTAGTTATCGTGTGCACAAACGGACGGACACAGACAGTAACGGCTTAATCGATTTCTCTTTTCATTATGAGCATTTATGTATAAATTATGTGAACAAAATTTATAATAAAGACGTATTAAAAAAAAACACAGTCAAAAAATTTCAGATAGGGTAACTTACATACATGCATGCTGATTAGAATGCTTTGCTGTTTTTTGTATCTTACCAAGTGATATCACGAAGACTTTTGGCCACTGCTGCTGTATATATGCTTAGATCGCCATATAAATAAGTGGCAACACACAAATAGAAGAATACACGACCAGTGTCCTTGAAAAAAAGCGAAGCCATTTCACCCAATTCTAGTCTACGATCTAAGCTATAATAGTTTTGCACAGGATAGGTGGCAGTTAAGTGCTCCATTTCAGGAGTATGTATATTACTTCGGACTGGTAGATTGGTACTACGTGATAGTCGTGGACGAGCGCTGTTTATAATAAGAGGTTGAGAGTCATCGCTATCGTCATCGCTCATATCATAGATAAACTGTAGAATATTCATTAGCGGTTAGAAAGTATATCATATAGTATGTTTTGTACCTGTGACTGTTGCCAATTTCTTACTGCATTAGCGCATGCCATGGTCTCAATCATGAAGGTGACGGTTATATAGCTTATGAATGCCAATAACGTGACCACAAGCGAACTGAGCAGCCAGCCCGCTTGAGCAAAAACAAATGGTAATGTTAAAGCTCCTGTGCCAACAATCAAGTTAAAAATGAATACAAACCCGATCTGAAAAAAAATGGTATTATTTATGCAAAAACTTTGGTCGCTTAGAAAGCGTTCACTCAGAAACCCGAGCGGCGCCGAGCTAAGCAAGGCGGAACAAGGCGAAGCTGCTGGTGTTCAGACAGAACTAAGTGAAGCGGAGCTTTTCTGATGGACTCCAATGAAAAGCGACAAAAATATTTGCTCAATTTTATTCAAAAATTAGGTATAAAATTCATTTTTGTTTTTGATATATTGTTTGACGCTGAAAAATTAAATAAAAAATTCAAATCAGAAACCGTTTTGCTTACAGCTCCAAAATGCTTCTGAAAAAGCTTGCTGTATGAACACTTTCATATAACTACCGCAATTTGAGAGCTTCACTCAGCTCGGAACGGCTTAGCCCGACTCGGATCCGCTTTCTGTGTGAACGTACTCTTAGGTGTCTGTTAAATAAACATTAACACCATAAATTCAATATTAGCACTAGAGAAGCGGGCACATTTTCCAGATTTTTGCTCTGAACTTATCAATGAAAATATACATACATCTTATACTATTAATTACAGAAAAAATTTTGTTATAAAAGCAATAAGCTTTAGATATGAAAACGGCCATGGAACGCGTAAGATTCGTATAACTAGTCAAATTTTACTGGATATCGATCCCGTACTCGATTCTTTGGCAAATGAGGACAAATGAAGTGAATGAGGTCCTCTCTCTGTTAACGGAATTGCTCTGTTAACCGAAATTGGTGCTCGCCGCACCGTTACCCATGTTGTTGTTGTTGTAGCGGCTACTAAGCCCCGTTCGGGGCGGTTCATCCATCAACATTGTCGTCAATTTCAGCTAGGGGGAGGCCCAGGAAGTGTGCTACTTCCACAGGGGCTGTCCATAGGGACAGGGGCGTTAGCTGAGTGGGATTCTCAGGGCATGTGAGGAGGTGCCGGGAGTCATGTGGCGACTCCCCACAAGCCGGGCATTGGTTGGGCACATCCTCGTTGATTCTGCTCAGGTAGCTGTTGAGCCTGCTGCAATAGCCAGAGCGAAGTTGGGCTATTGTAGTGCGGGTCTCCCGAGGCAGACAAAGTTCTGTCCCGTCCACGTCCGGTGGTTGTGTGCCTAGAACGGCATTCACAGGGCGGGAGTCTACATAACTTGAGACTGATTCCCTGTGAATGCCGTTCANATATACCTATGGACTTCGTCTGTCAGTTCGTAAAGATGCCTCCTGACGTGCCGTGGCGAGGGCTCTTCCGCGAGCAGTTGCCCGCTGGGATGGCCACGTCAGGCCTATCGCGGAAATCTCCTATTAGGGATCTCAATTCGGAGATTCGGCAACTTGTGAACGTACATAAGCGGAAGAAATGGGAAGAGCATCTGAAGACCTGCAACTTCGTCTCTGGTGTGAGCAAGCTTTGGTCAACCGTCAGGTCGTTGTCCAACCCGACGAAGCGCGACGACAGAGTCGAGATAGACTTTGGTGACCACGCTTCGTCGGACCCGGAGAGATGCGCGAGCTATTTTAGCCGGCAGTTCATTCTGCATCCTCCGGTGGATAAAGCCAAACGTCGAGTGACCAGAAGGCTGCACAAAATGCCAAAACCTAGTGCGCCTCTTGTTTTCACCAGCCGGTGCGAAGCGAGCTGCAGCAGCAGTGACAACCCTGCGGAACTTCACCAAGGTGGACATCGGTTGGTGTGGGGAGCGCAGCGAAGGTGCTCTCAGTAAATTCCACGAAGCCTTTCTAATCAGCTTTAGAAAAGTTGATATAGGTCCGGTGTTCCGCGGAAGCAAAGTCGGTTGGTTTATCGATCGATATGACTATGGGCAGATGGTCTGATGCTAATGTCAGCAAAGGTCGCCATGATACGCTGTTTATCAGACCAGCGCTGACTATTGTTATGCCTGGCGAGCTGCAGCAGGTGCCCATAATCCTGGTATGTTCGTCGTCGTTCATTGTCGAATAGTCTATCTGCGCAGCCAGGTCTGTTCCCCTACGACCGTTTGACAAGCTTGAATACCAAAGATCGTGGTGTGCATTAAAGTCACCTACTACCATACGGTTTTCACCCCCCGAGGACCGCACCTATATCATGGTGATATCCTGCCGTGCAGCAAGTTACAGGGTGTATGTAGGCGTTGAATATTTCGAGCTCACCATCGCCTGACGGTCGATGTCTGCTTCAATAAGACGATACTGCACGGTGTGGTGCGTGATGAACGCTAAGCCACCACCATTATCTCGCTCGCGATCTCGACGGTGCACGTTGAATCGACGGTTATCTCATCGATCTTACTCTGAAGTCCGTTGCAGTTAATTTGAAGGAGCTTCATGTCGTTCGGGAGACGTGTTGTTATGCGGGTCGTATAGCCTTGCCGCCATTGACTGTGTGCGGTGCTGTGGAGGTTGCCGCCCTCGGGTGGTAGTGGGTAGTGTCGCAGTTGGGGTTTGAGACCGAGCAGCACAACACGGGCCCTCGAAGTTCCTCGTCCAATCTCGCGTGGTGCGCGGACCTGAACATGCCCTAAAGTGGCACCAGAACACCTGAACAATTGCTCACTTGCAACGCTGGCGGGAGGAGCGCTCAAATATTTGCGCGCCAGATCTGTCAATTTGTGGTATTTTAAGTTTATTTTTCCACCAATCGAGAGAATTTTCACCGAGATGAGCTCGTTTTTCATTGAGGTAGGCCTTCAATTGGGCCTTCGCTTTCGCTGGAGGAATCTAAAATTATTTCTAGGTTGCTTATAAGAATTTTAGCAGTACTTGTTGAAGGCCCATCAATGTTGCTTGATATACTACTTAATCTTTTATCGCCTGAAGCTAAAACCCGGTTATTATCCACACCCTTTTTAGACAGACTTATAGCCTATTTCCACCAGTGGATTAACTGCAGTTAAGAGTTCAGATAAGTTGAAATTCTTAAAATGGGGTGAGCAGCAAGGCTTATTTCTTAGTGTTTGCTTTTCTCCTTCCGTTTGCTTGTACTTAGTAGGAGGAATTACCCCTTCGAGTTGTAATCTATTGAACTATTAGAGCAATTTCAACAATATTAGAGTGGTCTCTCTGCCCATGTACACATTCGCATTCGCAAAACATTCCTATCATGTGATGCGAATGCGAATGTGTAAAATGATGCGAATCAACCGCATATCGAATAAGTATGCAAATATTCGCAACATCCCTGGACTGGGACACTAAAAAGAACTCTATTTTGCCCTTGCACTCAAAGATGAATTTTAGCCAAAACACCTAATTTTCATGAACGATGTATTTGTGTTGTAAAATGTGAATTATACACCTTCGTTTTAGATAAAAATGAGGTATATATAATCTTCATAGAAATCAATACTATAATAAAACTGTAAATTGTTTGTTGTCTGTTTAAACTCACTAATTTCCGGAACTACTGAATGGATTTTTATGCGGCTTTAACTGGTATATAGAGGGACCTCGGACGTAACCTAGGGTATAAAAAAAATTAGATCTGACTAGGGGGCGTGGCACCTCCCATAGGCGTGATATTTTTAATCAGCTATAACTTCGAAACCGTAAGTCACATGACTTTCAAATTAGGTGTGTTGACATACATATCTATCGTAGATGCATAGTATAAAGTAGATATACTTTTGTAAAAGGGGCGTGGGACATCCTTTAGGTGTTACATTTTTAATCAGCCATATCTTCGGAACCGTATGTCACATGACTTGATATGTACCTAAACAAAACGTATGTATGACATTCGTCTATACATATAAAAATGGTGTGAAAAATGTATAGTAATCAATTGGGAACGGCTGGGCCGATTTGGCTTTGTTTTGGTTGTTCGTAATTGCCTGGAAAAGGGTTTTAGGAAAGAAAATTTTCGGAAAACCGTCCGGAAAAGTCGGGAAATTGGTAAAATTTGTGTGCAATTGTTTCGAAATGGCTTTTCGGAGGAAAAATAGAAAATTCTTAGTGAAACTTTCAGAAAATTCCGTAAGAACGCGAAAAATTTGATTTTGTTTTCGACGAAATTTTGCCTTTTGTCGCATGATTTGATAATTTTGGACGATGTAAAGGTGGAGAATTCGTTGTGATGCTTGGAAAATTTCAGATAATTGTGAAATTCATTGTGATCAAGAATCAATTGGGCACAATTTTCTCCTATGTTTCATAACCGATTCGAATGGTTGGTGCTTTGTTGGAAAGGTGTTTAGAAGTGCACACAGTTTTAATTTTTCCGATAGGTGGTGCAGGGGTAGAGCTATGATAAACAATTGCATTTATGGCCCGATTTGCTTCAAATGCGGAATATATATTCGGTGCCATTTATCGGTGGTATAAACCAACCTGCCAAAAATAGACCCGATAGGTGCCTCCAAAGTTGAGTTATGGCAATATACTATCTATCTATACTAATTATATAAAAAGTTCCTTTTTTGTAACAGGCAATCTCGCAAACGGTAGGTCCGGCTTTCATGAAATTTTTTATATAAATAGCTTTCAGCAACCACCATGTCAAGGGAAAAAAATTCTCATTTTTTCAGGAAGGTGGACCAGGGAACAATATATTCGAAAAAATCTTATTTATGGTCCGATTTGCTTGAAATTTGGTACTTTTTCCAAGATTAGCATATACAGTGCAATCCGGTTATAACGAACTCAACGGGACCGCGTCAAATTGTCCATCATAACCGAGTGTCCACTTTATTAGAATATAATATTTTTAAATAATAAAGAAATAATGTACATGTATAAATACAAAATCGTATACTTTTCATGCAAGGTAAATGCCCTTTTACCGTTCCGACATTTTTCTTAAAGTGAACAAAACACAGATCAAAACCCAACGTACCGTCACGAGCTGATTGCCTATTTTGGCTGATTTCGGTGAACCAATGAACTTTGTTTAACCATATAGACATTTTCTGTCGAAGAGATGGTTATCTCTCTTTACTGAATTCGGGAAATTACCGAACTTTGTTTATTGCAGATTATTTTTTTTTTATTTGGCCTTGGTTATAAAGGACAAAAACCG